TGTGTGTGTGTGTGTGTGTGTTTGGGGAGGGGGTGTTAGTTGAGGGCTACCATAAGAGTGCAGTCACCCGACAGTGATCAAGAAGGTAATGTCCAGTCGTTTTGCAGAGTTTAATTTCTAACGAAATTACTTTTTGAAGAAATATGATATTCATAACGTTTTCGACACTGTGTGTCTTAAGGCAATGAAAAAGGCTTACTGGCTTTTGCACCCGATTACGGTATGCTACGTTCTTCGTAGGTCTAAGTCTGGATGAAAAATAAATACCATTTCTAAATCCGACCTTCTCTTTTAAATCAAAAGAATCGTCCTACTTTAGAATAAACATAATAAATGTTTACTAAGAAATCAAACATTGCAATTCCCCCTTTGTCAGCCGATTTCCTTTTTGATAAACCATGCTCGAGATATCAGAGTTTGGGAACATTCTAGCCATTACCACGCAGAAGAACTCCTTTGTCATACTCAAGTTGTCATATTATTATATAACACAGACTTGCAACTCGTCTTGGAAATGGTATTTGCACTGAGAGCGCTCTAACGGACGTCCTAATTACCGACTATCTAGTAGGGAAGATGTGTAAGAGCACATCTTCGGATTCGAACTTCGAAGTTTCTCCAGTTGGTCAAGCTCAATATAACCATAACATGTCAGGCATTTAAACCGCTTATGTTGCCTGTTAGTGTCCGTTTAATCAGCAAGGTGAGGCAGGTATTTCGTATCGGACATTAATTTTGTGTCTTCAAGAAACCCCGAGAACTGCAGCGTAATAAAATTCATTGCCCGTTCCCACAGCTCAGATGGTACCATTCTGGTGTTCAATGTAGATGTAACTGAATCGGATCCCAAACAGAGCCCTCCTTCTGGGGGAGTTTTCAAGGATGTCCACCCACTTTGCTTAGACCTATCGGAGATGGACTGTAAATTCAGAAGCCTTACCTCTTGAATAACCTTTCGGTGTCAAAAGGACCAAGGAAATGCTAGACGGATAAGGTGGGGCATATGTGAAATTCCAGGGGCGGGCTTCAATCTATACTATTATCAACTGTTTGATTATGGATTAAGACAGGATTAACAAGAGCAGTGCGAGTGGGTGCTTTGTTTAACTGTCACGATTGTGCAACTCACGCACTTGAGTGTGGCTAATCAGATTGATTGTGGGCGATTCTTGGAGTTTCAGGTATTCCTTCGTTAACGCCGTGGGTAATAATGCGTTAGTCTTACAATAATGTTAGAAGGATTATATTTTTCTCCGGAAGCTATACTGTATTCTCATTGGCTTTCTTGCCTTTAGCCTCTTATTCTTCCGTGACACACATACATGGTTCGATTTTAAAGACAACTTGTTACTGGCACGGGCCAAAAATGTCAGTAAATTAGCTTACTCTGTGCCTTCCTCTGTCATGAGGAGTTATACCATGAAGATGAAGGAAATGTGACAATTTGAATTACAACACCCACCCCACACACACACCCTTCAGCGCTTCTTTTTTTCACCCGTGATCGTGGGGTATGCCTTGGTTAAGCTGGGACAAAAAAGCAACTTTGCCAGGATGTTTTTAGATAAGACGTTGTTGCACTCGTTGTAATCACGATAAGTGGTCCTTTGTCGCAATGCTGAATGGTGGGTATTTGGGGGGGGGGGGGGGGGGT